GGAAGAAAACAGCTTTCTTACTGCATAAAAAATAAAGCAAGCTGTGTTTGTTATTTTTCACAGCAAAAAATGTTTACCCAAAAAAGTCAACTAACAACTAAGAATTTGTTCTTCAGATACACTTGAGCAACTATGTGATGAAGAATGTTGTTTAACTATTGTAACCATGGAAACATCCCAAGTAGACATCACTTTTGTACTCTCTGAATTTGTTACCATGTGCTTGTATTCCTCTAAAATAACAACCACAACAAAATAACCATCACACCTGTCCCCAAGAGACACCATTTTTCATCTATCAGGTCAGCAAATTTTCCAATGCTTTCTAGTAACCTGTGTTTCTTAGGGAAAGAAGCATTTTATATGTTGCTGGGGAGATTATAAATTGGCAAAAACCTAGCTGAAGAGCATTTTAGAAATACCTGTTGAAATTTTAAAAAGCACACACTCTTTAGTCCAGCAATACCACTGCTAGGAATTTAGCCTATGACTAGATTTCCCCAAATACTCTAGGATATGCAAATGTGGCAGTTCACTGTGGGATTTGTAATAATGAAACAAACAAACAACAACAAAAAAGCCAAACAACCACTGTTGAAGTGGGTGGCCCCATGGTCAGTCCCCCAGCGTCCCATAACTCACCCATTCAAATCAAAGGCTCGGATGAGGATGTGCTGTAATACATCGAGCGAGGTGATCTGGGGGTCGACGGCGAAAGAGCGGAACTCAGGTGACAAAAAGCTCTCACACTTCTGGGGAGATAAGACACAGAGTGGGCCATCAGGGGCCACATCACCACACTGAAGCAGGCAGAGTGACAGATAGGAGGCAAGGTCAGACAAGTTGTGGGCAGGGGCACATGGAAGCAGGTGTTCTGGGTTATGGGCTTTGGTTTTTGCTCTGAGTGAGGGGTAAGACTTGGAGGGTTCTGTGCAGAGAGGGGACGTGATCTGACTTAGGATTTAACAGGATCTTTCCAGCTGCTCTTAAGAGAACAGGCTGTGGGGGGCAAGGGAGAAAGCAGCAGTCCAGTGAGAAGTAGGCTACTGCAATGGTCCAAGCACCCAATTCTTCTTCTTTGTCCCGATGGTTGTCAGGATCACCAGGTCCAGTCTGGCTCCCATTAAATCAATACTCAGTGCTGCAACAATTCAGCACATCTACTTACAATACTTCCCTGCTTAAATCTCTTCAGAGGCAACCCCAGGGTGCCCAAAAGGTGGGCCTATAGGACGCTGGCCAGCCTCTCTTCAGTCAGCTTTTTTGAACTTTACACTCTGGTGCTACCAAACTACTGGAAGTTACTTTGAACACATCCTGGCTCCGGGACTTTGCTTGTGCTGTTCCCCCCTGTCTGGAAAGTCCTTCCCACTTTCTTCCAAGGGGCTCACCCAGAGCTCAGGTATGATCTCTTTTCTGAATTCCCAAACCTCTACCTTAGAGCTTCCTGTATTACCCTGAGGTGACCTGTTAACTTCTTTCCAGAATCTACTTTCTCACCAACACCAGTGCCACCACCCTAGTCTGAACCACCATCACCACTTGCTGGAGCTATGTATGGCAACAGCTTTCTTAGAACACATGCCAGAGGCCCTTCCCAATCTGCTTCTCTTTTACCTCATTGTTTTACCCCCTACCCACCCCTGCCCTTGCTCTCTTGCTCCAGCAATATGGGAACCTAAGGGAACATGCCAGGCTCATCCCCACCTCCCAGCCTTTGCCTTTGCTCTTCTCTCTGCTTCCACTCTTCTTCAGATACACATATGGAGTATGTGTATCTTTTTTACCTGGGTCTCTGCCCCTTCAATACCTTTCTAGGGACTTCCTGCTACAACCCTGGCTAAAGGAACTCCCTAGTTCAAAAGCTTTTTCGTTATCTCCTCACGACATTCACCAGTGTCCAAAGCATCTCATTGATTTAGCTGTCTTTCCGATAAGCACGTCAGCTCATCCCGGGTGAGATTGTAAATGTGCACATAGGTACATGTCTCTACATGTTAATTGACTTCAGCACCTCCTTTCAGACACCAACAGCCCCCCCTCAACTATTTAAGGCCCCTCCTCCAGCCCTATGGCCCCTCCTCTCTACCCATGATCTCCACCTATCCATTCCTCAGGCCCCTACCCCTCCATTTTCAGTCCCTAAGTCCTCAGGGCCTACCCAGCATTTCTAGGTCCAGCCCCCACTCCCCCACCCCTGTCCCCACCACTATCACTCTGCCTTCAAGCCTCGCCCCTCAGGTTAACACCCCAAATCTCAGGTCCCGCCCTCCGGCCTGAGAGAATCACCGTTTTCCCCTCCCCTGGGCACCCCAAGAGGGCCGGCCGACCAGCTGTCAGCCTCACCTTGACTCGGACCCGTACCACCTCTCGCTCCTCCTCCTCAGCCGCCGCCGCCGGGGCTCCCCCGCCAGGTGGGGGCGCTCCAGAGCCGACCAAATCCGAGGCTCCAGAGGCCGACGCCATCCCGCCGCCACCCGCCTCGGGGCGACGGTTGACCGTTGCCCCCCACCTCTGTGAGCACTCCACAGTTCCGGCGCCCGCGGCCCCACCTTGTGGCCCGGCGCAGGCGCAGAGGGCGCTGTGAGACCCTGCCCCCCCGCTGCCCCTCCCGCCAGGCACAGGGTGGAGATGGCCTCTGCGCACGCGCTTAAAATGCTGTTGCCAGGTGTCCCGCCCCCAGAAGCCCTGCATTGTGCCTCACTTCCAACAGTGCGCAGGCGCTTACTGAGGTCCCGCCTCCCCTCGCCAGCGGTTTGGTTGTCTGGGCAGCTTAGTTCCAGATTCACCTACGTGTTACAGTGACGATCTACTCGGGCGAGAGAAGTGGGCAGGGAAAGAATCTGCCATGCGATGACGTCAGGCCCCACATCCCGCCCGGAGTTGCCTCGTGCCTCTCCCTTAAAGATGATGTCATCTATTTCAAAAGCCTGTGGCCCTTGCTTCAAATGAGCCTGCTGAATGGAAAAATAATCCCTTTTCCAGAATCTTTTAAAAATAGTTTACATCTGGGGCGCTTGGGTGGCTCAGCGGGTTAAGCCTCTGCCTTCGGCTCGGGTCATGATCCCAGGGTCCTGGGATCGAGCCCCGCATCGGGCTCTCTGCTCAGCGGGGAACCTACTTCCCTTCCTCTCTCTGCCTGCCTCTCTGCCTGTTTGTGATCTCTGTCTCTCAAATAAACAAATAAATAAATCTTAAAAAAAAAGTTTACATGGGGCGCCTGGGTGGGTTAAGCCTCTGCCTTCGGCTCAGGTCATGATCTCAGGGTTCTGGGATCGAGCCCCACATTGGCCTCTTTGCTCAGCAGGGAGCCTCCCCCCCCCCGGCCTACGTGTGATCTCTGACAAATAAATAAATAAATAAATAAAATCTCCACAAAAAAAGTTTCCATGTACATATATGACTTTTGCAGTTTCTGTCTCCATGATTTATATATATATATATATATATATATATGTTTTTTTTTAAAAAGATTGTATTTATTTGAGAGAGAGAGGGAGAGAGAGTGTGCACAAGCCAGGGAAGGGGCAGACAGAGGGAGGGGCTGAGCAGGGAGCCCTATGTGGGGCTCCAACCCAGAACCCCAGATCAGGACCTGAGCTGAAGGCAGATGCTTAACTGACTGAGCCACCCAGGTACCCCCGCATGATGTATTTCAATAAATAATTTACTAAAAAATTCATTTTTATGCTCTCTGGAGGTCCTAGCTTTTTAAGTTTGCCTTCATTTTATTTGATCCTTGCAAGACGTTGAGGTCAGTCCTGTTATTAAACAATGTATGTCTACTAAATATCAGCTGATTGAACACACTTTAGACTCCTCAAATCACCAAATACATGAAAGAATTCATCTCACTTCACTGAATATCCATCTGGTTTGGACAAAACACAGACTGCCCTTACAAACATAATTCCTAACAAAGGAGTCCTGTAAGATGCCTGGACTTCAGTTATTGTTGCAGTATTGTATGAATGCTACTCTTAACATTTTTTTTAAAAGATTTTATTTATTTGACAGACAGAGATCACAAGTAGGCAGAGAGGCAGAAGCAGGCTCCCTGCTGAGCAGAGGGCTCGATCCCAGGACCCTGGGATCATGACCTGAGCCGAAGGCAGAGGCTTTAACCCACTGAGCCACCCCAGGTGCCCCTGCTACTCTTAACATTAACTTTTTAGAGAAGCCCACAATTCTATTTTGGTATCTTTTTAAAAGAGATTTTATTTATTTTTTTAAAGATTTTTAAAAAAATTTATTTATTTGACAAACAGAGATCACAAGTAGGCAGAGAGAGAGGAGGGGAAGCAGGCTCCCCGCTGAGCAAAGAGCCCGACATGGGGCTCGATCCCAGGACCCCGGGATCATGACCTGAGCCGAAGGCAGAGGCTTTAACCCACTGAGCCACCCAGGCACCCTTTATTTATTTTTTAGAGAGAGAGTGATAGAGTACGAGCTGGGGTGGAGGGGTGTGGGGGGGTGGTGGGAAGCGAACTTCCTGCTGAGTAGGAAGTCCAACTCAGGGTTTGATCCCTGGACCCTGGGGTCATGATCCCAGCAGACACTTAACCAACTGAACCATCGAGGAGCCCCTATTTTGGTATCTTTTAAAGTAATTGTTTCCTTGGTATTATTATTACATGGATGTCAATTTTTTAGAAGGTATAAATACTGGAGAATTTTTTTTTGTAAGCCAGAGAAGGGTTTTTGGCATTTTTCTTCTGATCCATGTGCTTGAGTAAATAACACTTCTTATGGGTCTGCTGGATTTTCTGAAGGAAATGAGGAATTTGAGAGTCTGCTTCTCATTACAATTATCACAGGGTGGGATGAGCAAAACACTAGCCTGGATTCTGGAGTTCAATCCTGATGGCAGCACTGGATCCCAGGTTTTAAATGGGGATATAATGTGGTCAGATGCCGGTCTTGGTTGTGGAGAGGGCCTTGGCTGGAAAGACTGCTTACTGGAAGCAAGGAGATAAAAAAGGACGTCCTTGTCATAGTCCTGGGGAGAACTTTCTCTTTCATTTATTTATTCTTCCATTCAACAAATACAAAGTGTATGCCAGGCGCTCTGCATATATTAATTCTTTTAATCTGCATAAAAATCCAATGAGGTAGGTACCCTTATGAGAATTTTACATGTGAAAGCACTGAAGGTCAAGGAGAAACATGCTCAAGATCAAAGGGATAGTAAGTGGCATGGAGAGTTAAGTGCAATGGCCAGAAAGTTGGCTGTGCTTGGCTTTGGCTTTAACAGCCAGGCATTTCTCCAAAACTATACTGTAGGCTTGAGCAGCACCAGGATTTGAACTGAAGTCCTGTTCTGCACAGGTCACCAGGAGCCAGTCTACAGGTATCTGCAGTTTTTTTTCATTGTCATCTCCTCAAAGTTCCTCAAGTACCCATCTGTTTTATGACTCAAGGTCTATGAGGTTAATGACAGCCGGACTGTGGGAGGAGCGATGGGGGTGGGTCTATAGGGTGAGAGGTTATTCGTGGGATGAATGATGAGAATCTGTGGATACATGATAGGTGATCTGAAGGATGATAGGATGTGGGGTGATAGAAGATCTGTGGGGTAACTGGGGACCTGTGGGGTATGAGGTGACAAATTCTGCAAGGCGAGGTATGGGGGTTTGTAGGGTAAGTAATGACAGCCTATGGGGTAAATGATAGGGGATTTGTGGGGTGACTTGAGAGGGTCTGTGTTATCCATGATGGGGGGGTCTACAGGGTGAGTCGTGGGGTTGTAGGGTATACGACTGACTGGAGGTCTTTTGGGATAAGTTATGGGGTATGTGAAGTGAGTGATGGGTCTTGTGAGTTTTTGCAGTCCCTAGGGTGAGTGATGGGGATCTTAAGGGTACTGATGGGTGTCTTTGGAGTGAGTAATGGGGGAGTCTGAGGTGAGTGAAGAAAGATCTGTGGAGTTATTGATGGGGTGTCTATGGGGCACCTGATCAGGAGACACGAGGTTGAATAAATTGAAGAACTTATAGATTTGGAAAGTTCTACAAAAAATGAGAAAGTGTGCTCTGGAGAGAACACCAAGGGTGTGAATGGATGATCACTTCTTAAGAGAGATAATGGGTATCTCATGGATTTAATTAGTCATCATGGGACTCTGTGGGGTCAGTGATAGGGTTTATAAGGTTATAGATTGGAAGCCTAAGTGATGATGATGGAGGGGGGTCTATGGCTGAGAGAACGGTGGTCCTTGAAATGAGTAAGGGAGGGGCTTGTGGGGTCAGTCAGAGGACATCTCTGGGGTTAGTAATTAAAGATCTCTTAGTGTTAGGGTCAAGATCTTTTATTTCCTGATTTTAAAAACTGCCACCATCATGGCCCTTCTAGTTTCTTCTGTACCTTTGTCCCAGTGGCTCCTGGCTGTAGCTCCACACAGCTCCTTTCTTGCCCCTGCCTCTGGCCCTTCTGGTGCTTACCCATCAACCCGAGTTTGACAGATTAATTTGCTTTGTCCCTCCAACCTGCAGGACTGGACTCTTCTTCCTGGTGGAGGGTTCCTCATCACAGTGTTCAAGCCCAGCCTACTACTTATTAGTTCAGCTTGCTCTTGGCTTTTGTGGTTTTGGTGTCCAGCATGCTCTGGGCATGAGCGAGCTGCTTTACAGAATCGAGCACAAGGATTCCAGGCAGCACCAGCCACAGGCCGTTCATGAAGACAAAGTAAAACCAAAAGTAGAGCGGGTGGCCCAGCTCCCCATGCTGGAATCCATCCCGCTGCTCTGTTAGGAAATAGAGCACATCCCCATAGATCTGACCTGTGGGAGGTAAGAGGGGAAGAGGAAACCCAGTCAGGAGGAAAAGCTATTCCAAGGCATCTTCTAAGTCATCATTCAAGGTCTCAGAGCTGATTCTCAAATTTAGAGAGCTAAGAAATCTGAAAACATACAGCTGAAAATTTGAGGAATTAGAAAAGTGAGAATTCCAGAAATCAGAAGCTGAGAATTTCTCAACTCAGGAGAGATCTTATCTCCAGAATTTAAGGAAGCTCAAAATACCTTTAATTCAAGACAGCGCAGGATTCCAGAACTAAAGAAAGCTAGCAGTGTAAGAATACAAGAGGACTGAATGCCAGATGAAGGGAGCTCAGAATCCTAACCCTGGAGGATCCAGGGGCTTCCTGCCACCTCATGTAACCTTCACAGGAAACGTTGTGATGAAAGAGGAGGAGGGGGAAATGACCCTTTCCCACCTGAGAACACAGACTGAGAGGGTCATGGCTGTTCCAGAACCTCAGGATGATGTCATTCAGCCTGACTCAGCCCTGGATGGGCACAACTGAGAGGTGCTCTGTGTAGGGATCCCTGTGTCTGTGGATCCCCCATCAACCCCTCTAGGACCCAGTGTGGGCCCCCTCCTCACCTACAGAGACCACGAGCTGTAAGACAAAGCGGAGGGGCTGCTGGCGGAGAAAGGCGATCACCACCCATAGGCTGAGTGGTCCCCAAAGGCAAGCTGTGATGGTCTCCATGCATATCGTGAAGTTGTCACTCCTGTGGGAGGAGAAAGGATTGGGGAGCACTGGCATCACTGTGCTGTACCCACATGGTACCCCATTAGTGCTCCCTGACTCACCACCACCCCCAAATCAATGCAGGGCTCCCTTGATGGAGGCAAACACTTACAGGATATATCGGCTGTCTCCCTTGGCATACTCCTTCCCTGAAGAAGGTGAGAGACATACATGAAGAATAAAGGCAAGAAAAGGAATTCAGATGTGTGAGAGCTGAGGGCCCATGTAAGGTGGGCTTCATAACCTCTCCATGCCTCAGTTTCCTCATCTGAGAAATGGGGTAGCTGTCTGGATTCTAGAGTGAACATATGTATACAAGATAATGTGTGCAGACCTGACACAGAACAGTAAGTAACGCTGTGACTGTCTGGGTAAGTGTAGGTGATGGGGTGAGTGAAGTAGCCAGTGAGTATGAGAGAAAGAGAGATAGAGCATGCGTGAGTGAGCAAGCAAGCACAAAGGTGAACAGATGAGTGAATCAAAGAATGAGCAGAGAATTAAGAAAAAGACAGACCACTCAATGTAAAAATAGACAGGAGACAAGAATAGGTTCTTTAGAAAACAGGATTCCAAAATGGTCAATAAACATATGAAACGTGTTCAAACTTCATTAATTATTAAGAAAAAGCAAATTAAAACCATAATGAGGTATCACCTGCAGCCACTATGACTAAAACTAAACCTGACCATACCAAGTGTTGGCAAGGATGTGGAGGAACTAGAACTCCCATATGCTGCTGGTGGGAAAATAAAATGGTATAGCCATTTTTAAAAACAGTTTGGCAATTTTTTCATAGAGTTAAACACATCTACCACTCTTCTCTTCCATATTTACCCAAGAGAAACAAAGGCGGATCTTCACACAGACTTGTGTTAGATCCAAGTGTTATGTAAGAATAGCAGTTTTATGGGTGCCTGGGTGGTTCAGTTGGTCAAGCATCTGCCTTTTGCTTAGGTCATGAACCTGGAGTCCTGAGATTGAGTTCTGCATCGGACTCCCTGCTCAGTGAAGAGTCTGTTTCTCCCTCTCCCTCTGCCCCTGCTCGTGCACTGGTGCTCTCTAATAAATAAATAAAATCTTTGAAAAAAAAATAGCATACAAATAATTTATTCATGAGGCCAAAAAGGAATATTATTTATAATAGCAAAAGACTGGGGGCACCTGGGTGGTTCAGTCATTGAGCTCTGCCTTCAGCTCAGGTCATGATCTCAGGGTCCTGGGATTGAGCCCGGTGTTGGGCCCCCTGCTTAATTGGGAGTCTGCTTCTCCCTCTCCTGCTGCTTGTTCTCTCTCTCTTTCTCTCTCAAATAAATAAAGTCTTCTTTTTATTTTTTTATTTTTATTTATTTCTTTGACACAGAGAGAGAGATCACAAATAGGCAGAGAGGCAGGCAGAGAGAGAGGGAGAAGCAAGCTCCCTGCCGAGCAGAGAGCCCAATGCAGGGCTCGATCCCAGGACCCTGAGACTATGATCCGAGCCGAAGGCAGAGGCTCAACACACTGAGCCACCCAGGCTCCCCCCCAAAATTTGTTTATTTGCCAGGGAGAGAGATCACAAGGAGGCAGAGAGGCAGGCGGGGGGGGGCAGGGGGAGCAGGCTCCCCGCTGAGCAGAGAGCCCATTGTGGGGCTCGATCCCAGGACCCTGAGACCACGACCTGAGCCGAAGGCAGAGGCTTAACCCACTGAGCCACCCAGGCGCCCCTCAAATAAATAAAAAAAGATTAAAAAAAAAAGATTGGAGGGAAATACCCTAAAATACTGGCCAAGTCAAATAATTCTGTAACATCCATGCTTTGAAAGCTTTTTATGAACTGATGAGGAGTGACCACATTGAAAAAAAGCGAAGTTCAGAGGTGTATATACCATATTACCATTTGCACAGAAGGGAAAAAAAGCGATGATGATGATGATAAAGGACAGTTATGGCATCTGCTGTCTGTCAACAGAGTTCTTAAATCTTTTTTCAAGATTTATTTATTTATCTGAAAGAGAGATCGTCTGTGCAGCAGCAGGAGGGGCAGAGGGAGAGGGAGAGGGAATCTGAAATGGACTCCATGCTGAGCTCAGAGCCTGACACATGGCTCGATCTCATGACCTGAGCTGAAAGCAAGAGCCAGATGCTTAACTGACTGTGCCACCCAGGCACCCCTGCTAACACTGTTCTAAGTGACTTACATATTTTTGGGTATTACCATCCCTCTTTTACAAATAGCAAACTGAGGCTTATCTGTATAATTTTGTGTAAGCAAGCCCTGGAAAAAAGCATACACAATTATTAACATTGGTTAATAATTACAGAAACTTGGTGGACAGAAGGTAGATTTTCACTGCACACCTCTTTAAATGTTTTTTTTTTTTGACCCATAGGAACAGATATTCAACAAAAAAGTTGAATACATTTTTAAATTAATGTTAGAGTTGGTGGGTGGATAAATATCTAAGCCAATCCCTGCCCAGAAAATTCCCTCCCACAGCCCTCAAAGAACTCAGGACTCACAGAGTTGGGACAAGAAAGCTTGGTCTCCAAGAAGGTCTTCGTGGTAGAGGCTGAACCAGCCCTCAATCACCATGTGAATGAACCCACACACTGCAAACCAGCACAGGGATAGTCGCCGCCAAGTCCCCAGGGGGATGACCGCAGCACGACCTGACAACAGCCATGTGGTCACAACCAAGACCCCAGAGATGGAGAAGAGGCCCGCCAGCAGATGCCAAGTGGGGCAGTCATTAGGCACAAAGTTGTCCAGCCTCAGGTGCCGAGGCCAGTATGGGTGCAAGGGCCTGGCGTTGGTGGTCATGTCTTTGTAGGCGGATGGCTGTATGTGGGCAAGTAGACAGGAGAAAAAAAAAAAAGAGAAAAACCTGAGCAAACAGAAAGCACAGAATGAGATCATAAAATCAAATCCAAATAATTTATTATCACAAGAAGTGTAAATGGACTAAAATTATCAGTTAATAGACTGGATTAAAAATAGCCTAATTATACGCTGTTTTAAAATCCCAACTATAAGGCCGTTCCAGTCCTCCAAGAGAGTCCCATGATGTGAAAGACACAGGAACCGGGCCAGGTTCTAGCCCTCATTGGTCACAGTCTGGTAGGCAGACACAAAAAACAGACTAGGTCCCAGCTCTCACTGGTCACGCCCTGATAGGGGACACACAAGGGCCGGGTATGGTCCCTTCCTCATGGGTCATAGTTGGCTGAGGGAGACACAGCGACCAGGCTGGGTTCCACTGGAAGGGTCAGGGTCTAGCAACTTTCACCAATAGGAAGCTATTCCCTCTCCCGCAGCCCTGGAATCCGCAGGACAGAAGAGAGAAAACTAATTGGAACTACAACCGTCAGGTTCAGTGTGTGCAAAGCCAGACCCTTCCTGAAATAGTGCATAACGCCACTAACCTGCAAGAGAAAGAGGAAAGCGGAAGGCAGGGGTCTTGGGCGCAGTTCTAAACAGGAAAACGAGGGTGAGATACACAGACCACCAATTAGAAATAGAAGCCTCTGGTCTAGCTGCCCAATGAGAAGGCAGATCTTCTGCCGTCCCGGCAACCGCGCCGTAGCCGGGGGTCTTGCGCAGGCGCGTACGGTGGGCGGTGGGTGTCAGTGCGTGGGACCCGGGCGGGGGGTGGTGGGGGGAGAGGGAGGGAGGAAGGGTCTAGCGCGAGCGTCGAGGGCCGGCTGTTTAGCAGCTGAGAGCTAGGGGATGGAGTGGCAGGTTGGGCGGAGGAAACTCACCCAGCGGCGTGGTCTCGGCGGCCTCGCTCACAGACTCCGGGGTCTCTCTAGGCTAGCTCGCTGGCTGAGTAAAAATCCTTCGTTCCGACTTGTCTCGTCACAGGTTCCTCACCTTACGGAGCTGGCCAATGGAGGGGCTGCGAAGGCGGCCAGCCCCGCCCCTAACCAATAGGAGCTCTTTGTGTGCCGCCGGCCCCGCCCCCATGCGTGGTGCCATTTTCGCTGTTGGTTGAGACCCAGTCAGGAGTTGTGGGAAGGCTGGGACCCGCCAAGGTTCGTGGGCGTTTTGGGGCTGAACCCCGTCCGCAGGGAGTCCTAGCTTCAATTTCCCTAGCCCGTTGTCAGTCAGTCGTATCGGAAACTGGGTGTTTTATCCTTATCTGCTGTTGAGTCAGCATTGCTCTGTGTTCGCTCACCTTTGCCCTCGTTTTTTAGGGACATCAATGAGTTCCCAATCCTAATGCCCGAACCAGCGAGGAAACTTAATACGACAGCAGATCACATCTTGTACATTGTGCCTCTGCCCTCTCCCTGGGTGCTCAGAACTCCTCAACGGTCATCTCCACTTCTCCCGACTTAAGTCAGAACTAGTCAAAACCCGGGCTCCCCAGCGATGCTGGCCAATTGGCACGGAGACCCTTAGTCTCCCTGTGCCAACTCGAAAGGGCCAATCCAAACTCCGTGACTCTAAGCCAGCAGGCACCCCAGGCCGTGCAATCAATCAGAACCCCGACCTACCCCACACCTTCCTATCCAATTAGAACCCACAAGCTTCAGTTCTAAGGACCAACAAGCATGAACTCTTCATCTGTCTTGCTTTCCCCCCTCTCTGCCCTAGTCAAAATAACGGATCAGAAAACCAGTTTTCCAACCAGCTAGTATCAGGTCCCCACCACCACACACACATCCAACTATCCAGTTTGTCCTGGCTCCACTCAAATCAAGTTGTGAAGTCCACGAGCTCATCATCCAGCCCTGAACGATAATAAATTAACCATGAACCAACCACAACCTGTTCCCTCTTCATGATTTCCAGCTTCCAAACCTTTAATCCGTGCTGTGCCCATTCCTCACTCAATTCTATTCCCCATTGAGCAGTGAAGAAAGAGCCTTTTGTATCTTTCCTATTTTTATTTGACAATAACAAACTGTATATAAAAAGGGAGAAGGAAGGCGGGGGAGGCCCTGGATCTCCCCCTCTCTGTTTCCCCAAGCATCCTCCGCCCCTAGGCCCCAGCAGGGACCACCCCCTTCCCGCCTTGTGGTGGAGTGGGGATCAACAGGCATGGAAATTGTGTGTGTGTGTGTGTGTGTGTGTGTGTGTGTGTAGGGGTGTCGGGGAGGTCAAGGATGGAGAAGCGTCAAGAATTAGAGATAGGGCCTTCCCTCATCCCGCATCAGAGCTGGCACCCTGAGGAGGGGTCTTGAGGGAGCTATGAGGGTCCACAGATGTGCCTCAGCCTATGAGACGATAGAAGATCCAACATCCAAAAGTGACCCAGTGACTGGCCCAGCTGAGCTCTGACCACTTGTGGACAGTGTATGCCATGCCGTAGCCCTGTGGGAGAGAAAGAGGTGACAGTCCCACTCGGCAAGAACAAAAAAAGGTCTCAGGAAAACCCATCCTTTGTTCAAGGACATTTCTGTGACTCCATGCTAACCTACTAGGCAAGGCCCCAGAGAAGAGACTGGGTACATGTAAAAGGTAAGCAGAATCAGGTGTTATTTTTTTTCATGTTTTCTTCTTTAAATATCATTTTAAAAACAAAACAAGGCAATTCTTTCCCCTAATACAGAAGGAGCTCCTAGAAATCAATTTTTCAAAAAGAAAAAAAAAAACCTGGTAAAGGAAGGGAGTATGCCATTCTCAAAAAGGAAAAATCCCAGTGGTTCTTAAATATATGAAAAGATACTCAGCCTCACTCATAATCTTCCTCCTCTCAAACCGGCAAACCTATCCAGGAAGTCTGAGAGGCACTCTGTTGGTCGGGCGACGGGTATGGTCACACACTGCTGGGGGGAGGCAAAAAAGTAACTTCTTCATTCTAACTCTCAAGGCTAGATCCTATAGTTCTGTCTGCACCTGTGTGAATCCATATGGGTACGAGGGTAGTAGTACTTGGCTGTAGCACCATTTGCAATAGGAAAGCGCTGGAAATCACCTAGGTGTTCACTGATGAGGGACCAACTACACTGTGTCATATCGTCATACCCTCGCAATGGAAAACAAATGAATGAGGACATTCCATGTACTTATGTGGAAGATTTTCAAGAACGATTACGTGAAAACAGTGACATGCAGAATGGTATCATTCATGAGTCCTTTTAGGGTAAAACCTGGGGTGGGGGAGGGAGTCAAAATATAAATCTATTGTTGTGCTTATATTTTAGCGGGACATTTTAATGAAGTGAATAAAAGTAGTTACGTGTAAGAGGGGAGGAAGGAGACAGTAGGAGCAAGACTTTTCCCTGAACATCTTGAATACTGTTTTGTTTTTGAACCTTGTGATTTATGCATTAACTATTTTTAAATGTTTTAGTAAAAATTAAAACCCCGATTTTGCACACTCAACCTGAATGAAGATTAAAATTGTTTTTAATGACAAAATAGAAAATAAAAGTTTTATTTTCAATTAAAAATAAAAAAATGCAACTAAAAGAGAAGCAAAACCTGGATCCTGCAAGAGCCATGTGAAGAAACAGTATTTTTAAAATCATCTTTCATTTAAAAAAGGAGTAAAATCTGGAAGGTGCACACTCCACATGAATAAAAATAGCACATTTTAATGTACATTTTTAAAGCAGAATCCAGAGTTTGCACATTCAACCTGAGTAAAAATACTTCTTAATTAAATAAGAAAGAAACCTTGTGCATTCTACTGAAACAAAAATATGATGAAATAATTAATTTTTTGAAGGGTAAAACCTGGGGGTGCCTGGGCGGCTCAGTCGGTTAAGAGGCTGCCTTCAGCTCAGGTTATGATCCTGGGGTCCTGGGATTGAGCCCCTGCGTTGGGCTCCTTGCTTGCCAGGGAGCCTGCTTCTCCCTCTCCCTCTGCCCCTCCCTCCTCTGCCCCTGTTTCTCTCTCTCTCTCTCTCTCACACACACACACACAAATAAATAAACAAAATGTTAAAAAAAAAACCCTGGGATTTTGCTCTTCATCTCTATAAAATAAATTTTATAAGTAAACTAAACATAGTTTGCACGCCTTGCCCTGATAAGAGCCCCAACGGGATGAGTCCAGCAGAAGGACCCTGAGAAAGGAGGGTCCAGGAGCACTAGCTTCGCAAGTGCTAGACAGACACATGACACGAGGTCCTCAATGCCTCAGCCTCTTCACTTTTGCTCTCATGGTTCCCATGAGCGGGGAGCACGTCCCTAAGTAACCTCCAGCCCAGGGCCCCACCTCACCTGCTCCTCTGTGGTGTCATCCACATCGACATCAAACAGGGAGCCCAGGTAGGCCAGGTGGAAGATGGCCAGGGCCCCAAAGAGCAGGTTTAAGACTCGCACCCCCAGGCCCTGTGGGGGACAGATGGATATGCTTGGCAGCTGGATCTACTCACTGTCCCCCAGCCCCACCCGGCCAGGGGAGCCCAGTGGGTCCCAGGAAGGAGGATGTCCAGGGCACAGGGCACCCCCTGGGGTTTGGATCTTCCTACGGGAGCCCCAGAGGTATCCAGGGAAGAGGGTACTGTTAGCCTGGGGGCATCCAGGGGGAGAGGTGAGTGTTGAGGCAGAGGAAGGAGAATGGAGCGGCTTTAGCTGGGGGCTTATGGTGATAAACGTTGGTTGCCAGGTGGGAGGCAAATCTGAGGTGGTCCATATTTCTTATTGCAAACAATGAAAAAACGAACAGAAACAAATCCCCACCATGACCTACGAGACCCACCTTTCCCCACCGCCCTCGCTCGCTCTGCTCAAGCCACACTGGTCTCCTTGTTGTTCCTCAAATATTCCAGGCTCTCCCTGAGTCTCAGAACTTTTACACAGGTTGTTCTCTCCCTACCTGGAATGCCTCTCTTCCTCATCTCCTCCAGTTCAAGAACTCAAAAGTCACTTCCCTATTTAAAATTGAAACCATTCACACCCCCGCCCCATACTTCCCTTCCCCTTTCCCTCACGTCTTTTCTCCTTGGCATTAATCCCAATCTAAGAAACTATTATACTTTCGCGACTTTTTAAAAATTTACTGTCTTATCTGTTAAAAGGCTTGTCCTATAAGGCTGGGACTTTAGTCTCTTTAGTTCACCACTGTGTCCCCAGGGCCTAGAACAGTGCCTGATACCAGCAGGTGCTCAATAAATATTCACGGGGCGAGGGGGGTAACGGATGCCAGGTGTGTATACAGCAGAGGCTTGATAATGTTTGTGAGAGAAATGGATGCCAGGGTTCTGGGGATGGCTCAGGCACCAGGAGAGGAAGCTGGACACCCTGAGATGGACAGAAGATGGAGACGGAAGTAACGTTCTTGAGGGGAAGTGTTGGGCATGAGGTTCCCCGGGCTGAACCCTCACCAAGCGATGCCGGTGCGAACAGTTTGGTGGGCACCGTTTCGACAAGACGCAGGCACTGAGGATCCGAGCCAGGCGCTTCCGGAGGACTGGGGTGGATGCCAGGAGGTAAGGGGGTCAGGTTAGCCTCAGGGGACAGTGGTTCTAGCCCCGCCCCCACCTCCTATCCCATCTGCTGGGCTGGGCTCAGCACTCACCGTGTTCCACATAAGTGATAAACGCCAGGGACAGCAGCACCGCAGCCAAATGGAAGCTGAAGCCCTGGAGGGCCCAGGGGGCAAGGAGGTGAGTAAGGAGAGGCCCTGCCCACCGCCCCCAGTTCTCCCCACCCACATCCCGCTCTGCCCTGCTCACGTGCAGGAGGGCACTGGCTGCATAGGTAACCAGCACGGCTGAGAAGGTCCCCAGGCGGAGAGCATTCTTGAAAACATCTGGAAGGGGGAGATGCAAGTCAAGTCAAGAGTCTCCTGGGATCCCCTCTGCCCTCCCCAGGGGGCCAGAGGGCAAGGCGAGGAACCCACAACCTACTGGAGCCCCCAGGATAAAATTTTTATAATGGTCCCAAATGTCCC